CTGGGACTCAACAAGTAAGTTCGGCGGGCTTCCCGGCGGAACACAAGCTTCTTCATCTGAAGTCTCCTCTTCTGCATGCTGGAGCCGACGATCATTCCGCAGAGGTTGAGCGCGACCAGTGCTTGATATGCCCAGTGCCGGCCTCGGGGGCATCGCTCGACGACGCTCGGGCGATGGTTGCGCCAGTGCTCGCGCCCTTCTGGCGGCCAATTTTCCAACGGGTCGCCGAGGCCCGCCCATCCGTCAAACTCGTCGCACGAGGCAACACAAAGTATAAACTGGTCGGGGAACCTGTCGCGGTGAAGCGGCTTGCGCCGCGCGGCCGCGGCGCGCCACTCCGAGCAACAACACTTATCGCATTCGCTCGGGAGCCCCGTGCGGAAATGCTCATCATGCAATACCCGAACTAGGCACTCCTCCTCGGATTCGACGCTAAAAGCAGGTTCCTTTCGCAAAATTTTGCGGGCGCGCCGACGATCAAGAGCATCTTCATCAGCGCGCGCGGCGGCGCACGCTCCGTTGCATTGCACCGCCCTGCGACGGTCAGCGCCGTCAGGGGGCCAGGGCCTGCGGGCCGGGTTGACCAGCATCTGGCTAATTGTTCCCAGGGCCTCCCAGAATACACTGCTTCCTCCTGCAAGTTCCAGGGCCGTGGCGGGTCATCCCGCAGGAGCAGCGGCCGGTTCAGCTGGCGCCCTTGCAGGGGCAGCGGCTAGTTCAGCAGGCGCCCCTGCAGGGGTCGCAACCGCGGCGGGCGCTGTGGATGAGCTTGGACTTTCAGATGACGCGGATGTCGCGGCACTGGCATGCGGTGATATTTGGAGCAGCTCTGGGCGCCTTCGATGTAGTCTGCAGCGCCTTCTCACCCGCATCTCGCTGCGAGAGGTTTCCTCTGGCTGCGCCGCCCAGCGGTGGCGCCCAGCCAGTTCCCCCGCGAGCCCTGCCAGGAGCTGGGCCGCGCAAGTATATATGCAGGGTCCTTCGGCGTAGGCGTGCTGCTGCCTTGGAACGCCGATGCTGCCGCGGCCACTGCCGGCCCCCTGGAGTGCCGTCTGCAAGCGGGTGTCGCCGCAGACCTGCGCGACTTGCTGCATCCAGGGTCAACTTCCGACGAACCGGTCCGATTGTGTTTAGATGACGGAGGAATAGGTGACCTTGGCGCACTTCGCGACGGGGATAGATCGACGTCCTTCGCAGATCGCTTCTTCGGAGGATTGGGGCCCTGGGCAATTCATCAGCGGGTGCCCCCGCGTTTGGCGATGCCGCAGGTCCCCCGGCATCTCTCGATGGGGATCTCTCCAGAGTAGGATGTCTGTTTGATCTGCACAGGGACATGTTCTCGATCATAGCCTGGTTCTCGATGGACAACTGATAGCGTCTCTGTCGTCTAGCTCACGCACTAACTTAGCACCTAACCATCCAACTTCTCCGGCATGGCATGACGCCAGCGTACCACGCGCTAAGCCCATGTCCTCCGTCACTGGTTGAGTGATGTCAAAACCCGCATCGGTTCACCCGCTGCTATAGGCACATTCTGAATCGCGAGCAGCAGTAGAAGGGTCAACTGTTTCAGCATCGACAGGGCCGCCAGCCCACACATCGCCAATCGGAGGACCAGCGCCTTCACGAGAAGAAGAAGAAGCGGGTTGCCCCGCAGGTGATGCCTCAGCCATCATTTCATGAGATCCCCGATTGCATCTCAAGGCGGCGATTCCTGTCGAGGTTATCTCACCTTCGCTCTATGAGTTTCGCCTCGTCTTCGGCTATCGGCTGGTAGTCAGCATTGGTCATGCATGGGCCAGAGGGTTTAGTCTGCTCTACCTCGTGACCTAAACCATCTCCACGATACCAGATCCACTGTGTTTTCCCAAAAGTTAGGACGGATCCTTGACGGACGCCCCATCGGACACGCGATTCTGCGGTCTGCAAAATGTCTGCAACTGCAAACCAGGCACCGGCATTCTTCTCGGCCCTTAATAGTGGCCCCCCTTTTTGCAAGAGCGGGGGCTGACTTTGCACAAAAACCTCTGTTGGCACAGACGATCTTACCATCATCGCCCCCGCGATATACTGCGAAGTGAGTGCAAGTGGCGGATGTCGTGCCCGGCGCAGCCTTCATCGAGCCAGCACTGCATGGCTGCTGTTGAAAAATATTTGCGAGCCACCCCACGATCTCCGTAACTGACAAGACGCCGCGTGCCCGGGCCTTCGGGCCCACCTGGCCGATCCTCGCCCTGAGGCGGGCCCCCCCGCGAGCGCCCCCCTTGGGGCCCTCGCGCCAGGAGGGCGCGGGCGCTACGCGCCACTAGAACGAGCACGCGAACACCCGCGCGAATGTCTTGGCAGCCTTGGTGGGAGGGTGCGGATTGGTTATGTCAGAGGGCTGCGAGGGCGCGAGGGCCCGTGGATCATCGTTCCACACGTTGGCAACAGGCTGCCCTGCACTGGTATCAATGCGAAAGGTTTCGGCGCGATGACCTCGGCTAAATATACCGCCAGTGTTGCCGGGGGGTCGCTCAGCAATTTGAACATAGGATCTAATGTTTTCTAGTAGGGTGTCAAATTCTAGCTGGGTCCCTTGTAGCTGGGTCCCTTGACATTCGGTGGTTGGGTGATTGTAGTAATTGCTGTGCACGCGACGCACCCACTCCCAGAGCCCTGAACAGGATGACTGGTAGGATCTGGAAGTTGGGGATATCGAAGCCTGCGGCTTCGGCCTCGAAGCGGCCTCGAAGCGTGCTAACGCCTGGTGAATCCGCTCTCCCGCATGGGCTCGAAAGTCGATGAGAACCGCTCCTGGATTAAATTGGCGCTCCTCCTCAGAATTCTCAAACTTAGTGCTGAGGAGGAACGAGGAACATGATGTAGGTGACGCCGTCAGCGTGATGCCCACCGATGTTTACGACAAAAGTGATGATTCCAGAAGGTACTCAAATGGCTATGGTCCTTGCGAGCCCTCCCAGACCATGCAGTAGTGCTGCGGCATGTTGGGAGGGGTCATAGTGCCAGCGGTCCCGTTGATCCAGGCGTGTACCTCGCGAGCGAATTCGCGAAAAGGTGGATTACTAGCAGGGTCCCAGTGGGGGCCGGCTGTACATGCGTCATTTCCGCCACGCTGCATGCGCCCCACAGAACATCCGATAGCGACCACCAGGAGGCCGAAGATGGCAATACCAATCCAGTGGCCCCTTAGGTCGTGATCGGACGTTTGTGGCTGAGGGTTGTGGTGTCTTGTAATTAGCCTGCGTGGGGTGGGGGCGGCACACTGTCGCATCGCATGTTACCATGCATTGAGCTTCAAAAAAAACAGTTGGACTACGACGGTGGACTTCAGGAGTACAGCCGCGCAAGGAAGTGGGACTCATGTAAGAGGCCTGCGCGCGAACGGAGGTGGCACTGCAAGTGTCCTCGCGGTTGTGCGTAGTTATGTACATTCCTCCGCGCAGACCGACTGCACCCTGATGTTCAGTAGTTCACCAGAGAATACCGTGGATGGTGAGGAGTAGAACTAGAACTGACCACCATAGGCCAGCTCCGCTACCAAGTTTGAAGGGGGTTGGGAGGCCCAACCAGCAGCTTCGCCGAAGGCGAAGCCCGTACTCAGCTCTGTTGTATCGTAGCAGCGAGAATCCCAGAAGTAGGAGATCGTCGCGGGAGCGACGGGCCATGTCAAGCGAAACTATGTTCGCTCTCAATGGCAAGTAGTGTGCCTCGCGATGAGGCACAATCATATGTTGGCGGCCAGCCGCTTGAGAACCAACGGCCGCGGACAAACAAACACTATCTCTCGCCTTTGCCCCAGTCTCCTTTAGAGTCTTCCTCCTCCTCCTCCTCCTCCTCCTCCTCCTCCTCCTCCTCCGCCTCCTCCTACTCTTCTTCCCCCTGGTCTCCTCCTCCTCCTCCTCCTCCTCCTCCCATGCTCTCCTCCTCCTCCTCCTCCTCCTCCTCCTCCTCCTCCTCCTCCTCCTCCTCCTCCTCCTCCTTCCCCCCATCCGCCCGGATCCCGAGCCATGGAAGCCTTGCCCTGGTCCAGAGACCGAGGCAGAGGCGCTGGGGCTTCGGGCAGAACGCGGAGCTCCAGGCCACGAGGTATCCCACTGCGGCGGCCAGCCCGCGCACGAAAATGCCATCGCCTCCACGGAGCATTCGCGGATGAGCGGCACCAGCACCAGAAAAGCAATCGTCACCTGCTCGACGCACACCGTTGCTGCCTTGACGCCTGTAACCTTAGTGGGCCCCGCTCCCGGAAAAAAAATATCTGGAAAATGGAAACGGCAAAAAAACGGCGACCGGAAACTGCAAAAAAACGGATCCAGGATTCAGAGCCGGAGCCCGGGAAAAATGGCCACGGAACTGGCCAACATATGGCGTCGGAACCAGCAACAAAAACGGCGAAACGGAAACGATATATAAAAAAGATGCCCTGTCGTTGCCAGGGCACACTACGACCGTAACCCTGCCAGGTTCCTGCGATGTTGACCGCCCTTCAGCAGACCAAACCGGCCCAACTGCTCAAGCGGCAAGCGTTGGCCCCGCCCTGGCGGCGCCAAGCCTTCCGCGATGGTGGCGACATGGGGCCAAAAGAGTCGGGCCCTTCGTGATTTGAGGAAGGGGGGGAGGAGGTGGGGGAGCAGAAGAAGAGGAAACGCTAGTAACAGAAACGTTCGACGCTCCGCGCGGATTTCTTGGATCTGCGCTGGACTGGACCCCCCTCCCTGCCGCGCGGAGCGCGCCAGGGGCAGCGCCGGAGGCGCCGCCAGGGCGGGGCCCAGCGCGGAGCCAAGAAATCCGCGCGGAGCGTCACGTCAAAACAGTTTCTGTGAATGGCGCTTTTTGCTCTTCGAGATGGGGGAGGGGGATGGGGGGTTGAGTGGAGTGGAACGGAGTCTGGAATGGGGAAGCGGTGCACGAGGAGGGAACGGCAAGGCAGCGGTGGAGGGGGGGAGACTCCGCTCCCCGACCCTGACCCTGGACGCCCCCACTCCCCCCAGCACGGGCTCCTCGCGCTCGCGACGAGTCTCCTCGTCGACCTCCTCGGGCTCCGAGTCGTCGTCCTCCGCCTCCTCCTCCTCCTGAGCCTGTTGGCAGCGAGCGAGGGGGGGGGGGGGAAATCAGAAGGAGAAGGCCTTCTCAGAAGGCGGTGGGACTTTTCAGAAGCCATCGCGCCTTCTGAGAGGTTTTGTTGTGTCTTGGGGGGAAGCTTAGAAAATGTATAAAGGCTTGGGGACTTCCGAGCCTTCTGAGAAGGCCCGACCCTTCTCATTTACCCCCCTCGCTCGCCGCCGGGCCTGAGCCGCAGCCGCATCATTCAGGCCTCAACGACTTCTGCTGTCCCTCGACTCGCGCTGGACCTTCCATGATGTCTTCCAGGGTCCCCCAGATATCTCTGGATTTACCCTGAGCGCTGTGCATGTACCTTGACCTGTCCGGATGTACCTCGATTTGTCTGGCCTGCTCCCTGCAAGTCGAGTGGAGAAGAGTCGTCAAGCTCTGAGGGACCGCATCTCGAGAAACGCGGGAGCAGTGCAGTGGAGGCCAGTCCACAAGAAACCCTCCACAAGAAACCCAACCCTGGGACCCCAGGACGTCCATGGATTCCTGGCGTGGGAACGTCGCGCTCTCCACAGCAAAACCATCGAAACCCAAGAAACACAGGGCACCCTGGAGGCAAGCGGGGTGTTCCTTGGCATGGGCCCCCACTGCAGGAGAGGAGGGGGTCACCCCCGAGCGCGCGCTCCCCTCCGCGCGGCGCCTGGGCCCGCCGGGGGACGGTCTCCCAGGAGGGTCCCCGGAGGTCCCTGGAGGCGCAGGGACCGAAACACGGGCCGAAGACGCCCGGACCCCACCCCCGAGATCCGTTGCAGTGGAGGCCCGACCACAAGGACCCTGGTGAGCACTTTTTATTTCGGCGTTTCGACACTGGGCGGAGAGGAAGGGGGAGGCGGGGGGGGTCTGGCTCCAGACCTCTGCTTAATGCGTCTGCTTGCACCAGTGCGTCCTATGGGAGAGACCCCGTTTGCTCGAAACAGGCGCCAAAAAACAGGCAAGACCTACTCCATGGGGGGGGAGGGAGGGGGGGGGTTAGGGGCCCGCGCCGATCGGCAAAACAATGAATAAGAAAACGATCACCTTCCACAAGAAACCCAACCCCGAGACCCCAGGACGTCCATCGATTTCTGGTGTGGAAACGTCACGCTTTCCACGGCAAAGGCATCGACAAACCTAAGAAACCCAAGGCACCCTGGAAGCAAGCAGGCTGCTTCTTGGCATGGGCCTCAACTGTATGTTGCATCTTTAAGGGACCTCGTCTGCCCCATCGCGCCAGCAAGCCGCGTCGCATCCATGTCGAACGCATCCAATCCGTGTCGGACCCGTGTCGAGACCACGTCGACTTCACGTCGAGTCCGCGTCGAACCCGCGACGGAGTGCAAGAGAAGAGTGCCACCTACAGGTTAGGGAAGGTCCCCCGAAGCTGCAGCGTAAGATCTGACGCTGCAAAACAACTGCCACGTCGTGAAAAAACGCGACTAGAGTTAAGTCGGGCCTGTCCCCCTACAGGTGGATTCTCGACGAAAAATAAAACAGATCCCAAACATATGTAAAAAAAAATGTCCAAAGATAGCCTGGGGACTATTCTTTTAGTTTTTTTTACAATTTCGGGGTACTTTTTGAGTATGTTCAATTTGTCGTCGAAAATTCCCCTTTCTGCGGCAGGTTCTGGACTGGACTGATCTGCAGTGGCCCTGGGCCGAAGCCAGGCGAAGACGCCCGGGTTTAAAAAAGTACACCGCCCAGATTTCAGAGTCTGCGCCATGCAAATTGGCTTTCGGACCATCGCTCGGCTCTCTGGTGGCCATTCTTGAAGGCCTGGAAATGGGCACCAACACCAACACAGGATCCTAGATTTCGGCGTTGGTGGTAATATTTCGGCCACATTGGAAGCCAGAATATTACCACCATCACCGAGATCGGGATCTTCTTCCCTCGGTGGAGGCACACCGCCGAAATTGGTGTTGGTGTCAACCTCTAGACCTGCGATGCATTCTGGACGGTCCGAGCACACCCAAAACGCCCTCGGCGAGGCGCAGCCGCTGAAAGGCGTCCCGAGCCTGGAAGATCGCCCAGTGTCGGGCGCACGCTTGCGTGGATCAGGAATCTGGCGCGTGGGGGCCAGATCCACGGATCGGGGAAGGGCCCCCCCCCGAAGCATGGCGACAGTGCCGCCCGATTTTGCGACGGAGCGCGCCGATTGCGCACGCTAACGGGACCCAGCGCAAATCCACGCGCCGTGGTCCATGTTTGCGTCTCCTCGACAGTATGAAATACTGCACCGCCCAGATCTCAGGGTCTGCATCATTAGAAAAAGAATAACGCCATAAGCAGGAACTTTTGGCGCGGCGCGCGGATTTCTTGGATCTGCGCTGGACCCCCCCCCCCCTGGCGCGCGGAGCGCGCCAGGGGCAGCGCCGGAGGCGCCGCCGGGGGGACCCAGCGCGGATCCAAGAAATCCTCGCGGAGCGCCAAAAGTTCCTGTGTATGACACTCTTTCTTCCTCGGATCATTGTGGATGGGGTTTCGGGTCATGACTCGGCCCTCCCGTGGCCCTTCTGGTCAATCCAGAAGCACCCCCATAAGGCTCTCGGCGAGGTGCAGCAGCGGAAGAACACCCCCGAGGCTGCAAAGCCGCCGAGGGTTGAAAAATGCACCGGTCTGAGTTCAGGGTCGATCCCCCTCCCCGCCCTCGGCTGCAGTGGAGGCCAGTCCACAAGAAACCCTCCACACGAAACCCAACCCTGAGACCCCAGGACATCCCTTGACTTTCGGTGCGGGAACGTCACGCCTTCCGTCGAACAAAAAAGAAACCAAAGAAACCCAAGGCACCCTGGAGGCAAGCGGGGTGTTCCTTGGCATGGGCCTCCACTGTATGTTGCATCTTTAGGGGACCTCGTCTGCCCCAGTTCCGGCTTACTCGAGTCTTACGCTTCCCCTCGCCGAAAAACCATCGAAACCCAAGAAACCAGGGCACCCTGGAGGCAAGCAGGGTGTTTCTTGGCATGGGCCTCCACTGTAAGATCGGGGAGACGTAAGACTCGGGTACGGGGGACTCGGGTTGGCCCGACGGGGCCATCATAAAAATAGCGAGCCCCAATCGAAATGTGACGCAACCTCCCGCTGCAAACATGCAAGCCGTCAAAATCAAGGACGCGCTCGTCCGAAAACGTCGGCAAACCTGAGTTCCGGCTTGCTCGAGACTTACGTTTCCCGTCGGAAAAAAAAAACATCGAAACCCAAGAAACCCAGGGCTCCCTGGAGGCAAGCAGGGTGTTTCTTGGCATGGGCCTCAACTGTAAGATTGTGGAGATGTAAAACTCGGGTACGGGGGACTCGGGTTGGTCTGACAGGGCCATCAAAAAAATGGCGAGGCACAATTTGAAATTTGGACGCGACCTCCCGCTGCAAGCAAACATCCCACGAAGACTGGACCGTCAAAATTCAGGACGCGCTCGTCCAAAAACGTCGACAAACCCGAGTTCCGGCTTACTCGAGTCTTACGCTTCCCCTCGCCGAAAAACCATCGAAACCCAAGAAACCAGGGCACCCTGGAGGCAAGCAGGGTGTTTCTTGGCATGGGCCTCCACTGTAAGATCAGGGAGACGTAAGACTCGGGTACGGGGGACTCGGGTTGGCCCGACGGGGCCATCATAAAAATAGCGAGCCCCAATCGAAATTTGACGCAACCTCCCGCTGCAAACATGCAAGCCGTCAAAATCAAGGACGCGCTCGTCCGAAAACGTCGGCAAACCTGAGTTCCGGCTTGCTCGAGACTTACGTTTCCCGTCGGAAAAAAAAAACATCGAAACCCAAGAAACCCAGGGCTCCCTGGAGGCAAGCAGGGTGTTTCTTGGCATGGGCCTCAACTGTAAGATTGTGGAGATGTAAAACTCGGGTACGGGGGACTCGGGTTGGTCTGACAGGGCCATCAAAAAAATGGCGAGGCACAATTTGAAATTTGGACGCGACCTCCCGCTGCAAGCAAACATCCCACGAAGACTGGACCGTCAAAATTCAGGACGCGCTCGTCCAAAAACGTCGACAAACCCGAGTTCCGGCTTACTCGAGTCTTACGCTTCCCCTCGCCGAAAAACCATCGAAACCCAAGAAACCAGGGCACCCTGGAGGCAAGCAGGGTGTTTCTTGGCATGGGCCTCCACTGTAAGATCAGGGAGACGTAAGACTCGGGTACGGGGGACTCGGGTTGGCCCGACGGGGCCATCATAAAAATAGCGAGCCCCAATCGAAATTTGACGCAACCTCCCGCTGCAAACATGCAAGCCGTCAAAATCAAGGACGCGCTCGTCCGAAAACGTCGGCAAACCTGAGTTCCGGCTTGCTCGAGACTTACGTTTCCCGTCGGAAAAAAAAAACATCGAAACCCAAGAAACCCAGGGCTCCCTGGAGGCAAGCAGGGTGTTTCTTGGCATGGGCCTCAACTGTAAGATTGTGGAGATGTAAAACTCGGGTACGGGGGACTCGGGTTGGTCTGACAGGGCCATCAAAAAAATGGCGAGGCACAATTTGAAATTTGGACGCGACCTCCCGCTGCAAGCAAACATCCCACGAAGACTGGACCGTCAAAATTCAGGACGCGCTCGTCCAAAAACGTCGACAAACCCGAGTTCCGGCTTACTCGAGTCTTACGCTTCCCCTCGCCGAAAAACCATCGAAACCCAAGAAACCAGGGCACCCTGGAGGCAAGCAGGGTGTTTCTTGGCATGGGCCTCCACTGTAAGATCGGGGAGACGTAAGACTCGGGTACGGGGGACTCGGGTTGGCCCGACGGGGCCATCATAAAAATGACGATGCACAATCTGACACTTGATGCGACCTCCCGCTGCAAACATCCCACGAAGACAAGACCGTCAAAATCCAGGACGCGCTCGTCCGAAAACGTCGGCGAACCCGAGCTCCAGCTTACTCGAGTCTTACGCTCTCCCTCGCCAAAAAACTATCGCAAGGATGGGTGGTAAGGATGCAAGACCCTTGGAGGCAGAAGTTTGGATTTTTGGGCGAGGGGCGACCAGTGAAAACGGCACAGGACGGGACGCAATGGCAATGATGCAGAGGTACCCTAGAAAAGGCGCGCGTCCGTACTACGCGCGTTGACTGTACAACCCTCCGCGAAACTTTTTTCGTTTGTTCCGCCTCTCGCTCCCTCCAAGGTGAACAGCCGTGCCGAAAGCACCGCCCTCACGGCGCCCGAAGAGGAATAGTAAATACTGACCGGAGATGACGACGCGCCTGCACTAAGTGCTGGCAGGAGTGACAGCCCTCCGAGAAACTTGACGCAAGTTCCTCCCCCCGCGCCCCCAATTTCATTGTTCCGTTGCGAGCGCGGCGCGGTCCGCGGACGCCGACGGACAAAAATCTGGTCGAGTGTTTCGACACCAGCATTGAAATTTGGGGGCCTTGGGGGGTGCCGACGCGGCGCGGGAAAAACTTGCGTTAAGCTTCGCGGATCACTCTTCGATGATCATAAGAACGTGTGCTACCGCCAACGTGTGCTTGCCCACCGAGGCCCTTCCACACGACGAAGGGCGCTGCAAGAAAGGCCGAAACAGGCGGGTCGTGCTATCGGCGGAGGCGAGCGGGGCAGACGCAAACACTCGGCCAACACAGCGTCCTGAAGATCATGGAACTCCTGCGTGTACTCCAGATTTCGTGACAAAAGGGAGGGGGTCTCAACCCTCCCAGACGAGAAGTTTTAGACCCTCCCAGACCATCCATGAAAGGGCGGCCCTTTGCCCAGACCCCCCCGAACCCTCCAAGGCAGCTCAAATCAGACCCCCCCGCAAGTGTGACCCCCCCGACTTTCTTATGAAATCCGGAGCAGCCGACGCCGAGGCGACGCAGGAGCCGCCTCCGAGGCGCCGGGCTCCGGCTCCGACCCGTCCTCCTCCGCGGCCCTGGCGGCCGCGGTGCGGGCGTCGGGGTCCAGCACGGGCTCCGGCAGCCTGCCCCGGAACAGCGCGCGCTCGCGCTCGCGGCGCTGCCGCTCCTGGGGAGGGCGCCGGTCTAGTGCGAAGCCAGGGCAAGGGCAAGATCGGGCAGGGATAGCTCGGGAGTCCCTGAGATCCAGCGGTTCTGGAGGGTGTATGGAGCGCAGAAGGACATACAAGTGCTAGATCTCCTCCCTGGAAGCGTGCGTCCGACCACATCATGTAGTACAAGCACATCGTTTCACGAGAGGTATGGCAAGATAGCGCCCGCTACCGAGCATATACCACAAGATGTCTCAGCGCGCGCGTCGCCCCTGTGAGAGACAATCGCACGCATAGTATGAGTACGTTTAGGTGATGCCGAGATGTATCGGGCACCGCGGCCTTCTCGGAGCGTTCCTGCGAGGCGGGGATGTATCCATATCCACCGCCTGGGAACCGACGTCCTGGTGCCCCAGCGGGCGGTGGATATGGATATATTTCGGCCCGCGGGGGTCCGAATATGTCCATATCCACCGCCTGCCGAGGCTCCGAAAACTAACCCTCCAGGCGGTGGATATGGATAAATTCCCGCCTCGGAGTTCCGTAACGCTCGGAGAGTGTTCCATAACGCTCTGAGAAGATTTGTCCGTGTCCTGGCCCCGCCCGAGGGCCCTAGACAGCTGCTGCCTAGAGTTCCCCTGGCGGCGCCTTCAGCACCGCCACTGGCGCGCTCCGCGCGCCAAGATGAGGGGGCCTTCGACCAGTCCGTCGAAAGAAATCCGCGCGGACCTTCGAAAGGTCATGTCTATGCCGTTGTTTCTTCTTCGATTGCCGTGATCGCTCATTCTTAGCATGTTCCCTCACATCCAGAAGAGGCCCCCTTCGGCGAAAAGCTCCCCCCCCACAGGGAAGGTGTCTAGGGTTCTGGGGCAACAAAAAAACATACGACGTCGGAGGACTGAGACAGTACACCCAGGTCAACTAACTTCGCGCTTCGTTCATAGCGCGGCTACAGTGGAGGCCAGTCCACACGAAACCTTCCACAAGAATGCCAACCCTGAGACACCTGGACGTCCATGGAATGGTGGGTGGCGTGGGCACGTGACGCTCTCCATCGCAAAACCTCGAAACCCAAGATACCCAGAGCACCCTGGAGGCAAGCAGGGTGTGTCTTTGCGTGGGCCTCCACAGCACGGCGTCGGAGGACTGAGACAGTACACCCAGGTCAAACAACTTCGCGCTTCGTTCATAGCGTGGCCATCTTCGCGCCCTCGCACCGCCCACCCTGGAGAAAGATACCGCCGCGCCCCCCAACAACAAAGAGAGCGAATGAGAATCAAGACACAATGTATGCTCTCTATGTTTGCTGCTCGCCCCAATGGTTGCGTATCGGGACTCTGCCTTAGGGCCTGCTGCTCAGCTACACGAAACAAACTAAGCACAAATGCGATGAAATATAAGGACAACAGTGACGTGCCACCACATGCCCCTACCTTCCACCCTGGCCGTAAGTCATCTTCTGAACTATTTGGGACAAGTTAGGCGGCATTTTACCAGCTGATTCCCACTGGATTGGGAAATCCGAATTGCCCCGGGGAAGGCCGCGAAGAGCGCAGCGCGGCTACCTTCGCGCCCCTACGAGTGGCCTAAGAGGAGGAGGAGGGGGAGAACGAGGAGGAGGAGGAGGAGGAGGAGGAAGGGAGGGGGAGGAGGAGGAGGAGGAGGAGGGCTTGGAGGGGAGCCAGGACCGGCACGTGCGCCAGAAGCCGAAGAAGACAAATGCGTTGGCCCCGCCCTGGCGGCGCCAACCTTCCGCGATGGGGGCGACATGGGGCCAAAAGACTCGTGCCCTTCGCGACTCGAGGAAGGAGGGGAGGAGGAAGGGGAGCAGAAGAAGAAGAAGAAAAATAAAAACAACACGCCATTAACAGAAACTTCTGGCGCTCCGCGCGCATTTCTTAGATCTGCGCCGGACCCCCCTCCCGGGCGCGCGGAGCGCGCCCCCAGCGCGGATCCGAGAAATCCGCGCGGAGCGCCAAAGGTTTATGTTTAGGGCGATTTGTCTTCTTCGGCTTCTGGAACGAGGGGGGCGTGTGCACAGAATCCTGAGCGCAGGACTGGCCTGATGAAAGTCGGTGTCGGTTTCGTTTTCGCGCCATAACTCGGGCCTCTGGCGGCCGCTCGAGACAATCCGTACACCCCCAGATAGCTCTCGACGGGGCACAGCTGGCGAAAAACAGCCCGAGGCTGGCAAACGGCCACGAACCAATGCAAGCGTTCAACAAGAGAGAAAAACAAAATCAGCATAAACATAAACATAAACAGTTGGAGGCGGGCGCGGATTTCTTGGATCTGCGCTGAACCCCCTCACTGGTGTGCGGAGCGCTCTGGAGGCGGCGCCAGAGGTGCCGCCAGGGGGCTCCAGCGCAGATCCAAGAAATCCTAGAGGAGCTCGGACATGTTACGAAAACATCCGACAACACAAAACTTTGGGGGCCCCCGAGCTCCGCACCCTTCAGCGCGGCCAGCTTGGCGCGCGAGCCGGCGTTGCCGGGCTCGATCTCGAGCGCGGCGCGCAGGCAGGCCACCGCCTTCGAGATCTCCCCAGCCACTTCGTGGGCCTCCGCGCTGCGGTAGTGCGCCTCGGCCACCCTCCTTGGCCCAGTGTTCCTCCTGCTCCTCCCCCATTCCTTTCCCACATGAATAATTTTGTCCTGTCGCACCCCGAAGCCAGTCGAAAGGGCGGCCAGGACTTTCGCCTGACTTCCACACCACTGATGACCCTGAAGCTTATTAAACGTTGACAACATTCCACGAATGGAATGCGGGTGGTTTTCAAAATTCGACTCTCGGCTAAGCGCCGCGCACACTCGTCTTGAAGAAAAAACAGAAAGTCTTTCACGGATTGAAAGCGCTTTCTCTTCAAAATGTGGCTGTCGCCTCAGCGCCGCGCACATTCGTCGTAAAACATTGCAGAAGTTTCACGGATCCCCATGGTAAACGTCCCAGACTGTCAAGGCGCAACAGATACGTTGACTCGGGGTGTCGGAATCCCAGGACTGGTGTTCTGGCACGATTCAGGATCGCCAAGACGCAACAGTCAAGTTGATGTTGAGAATGTTTTGGCACACTTCAGGGATCTTCAAACGGCTGTCCCCCACGGGGCGCTTCCCTCAGTGGAACTGAAGCCTTGTAAGGGCTGTCAAAAGAGAGCTTGGGGGGAGGGTTCTTCCAACATCATTGACGAGTCTTGGGTTTACACTGGTCCTCCTCTTCCTCCTCATCCTCCTCATCCTCCTCCTCCTCTTCCTCCGCCTCCCGGGTCTTTCCTCGCCTCGATTTCCTCCTCCTCCTCCTCCTCCTCCTCATGCTCTCATTTCTATTATGATCATTAGTATCATGCTTCTTGTATGATTATTATTCTTATCATTATTGCTAATAATAGTAGTAGTAGTAGTAGTAGTAGTAGTAGTAGTAGTAGTAGTAGTAGTAGTAGTAGTAGTAGTAGTAGTAGTAGTAGTAGTAGTAGTAGTAGTAGTAGTAGTAGTAGTAGTAGTAGTAGTAGTAGTAGTAGTAGTAGTAGTAGTAGTAGTCGTAGTAGTAGTAGTAGTAGTAGTAGTAGTAGTAGTAGTAGTAGTAGTAGTAGTCGTAGTAGTAGTAGTAGTAGTAGTAGTAGTAGTAGTAGTAGTAGTAGTAGTAATATTAGTAGAAGTAGCCGTACTATTCGTAGTATTTTTAGTATTAGAATTATGTTCCCTCCTCCTCCTTCTCCTGTACTGTACTGTGCTCCGTGGAAGCGTCTGCCGATGCGAGGCATCCCGAGCCACGTTCTAACTTAATCCGAGTCCCCGCTCAGCAGGTCCGGACTGGGAGCCCGCATCAGGCCAAACCTGGTGAGAATTCGGGGGACATCCCAGCGCCCACCCCAGGTTGGGTCTTCAGAAACAAAACCAGGGCCTCCTCCTCTAGGACCACAGCACCCTTCTTAGCAGCTCTGACAAAGCCAAGGATGTCCTGAGGGGAGGGCACCCGCGGCTCGGTGAGAGACCACTCTCGGCACTGCTTGCCCCAACTTGGGAATCGACCTCGCAAAAACCAGGACCTCTGCTGTTTGAAGTCTTTGGAGGGCGGCGCGCTAGGGCAGACTCGGCACAAACTGCCTAGTCCCGCCAACGCGCAGCCCCTGCACTTCAGGCACGACATCACCCAACCACAACCGCCCACCCGAGCTGCACCCCCGTCCCACGCCTTCATCATGACAAGGCTGCGGCCTTGCAAAAGCATTCGGACTCGCGCCTCCGACTGCGCCTTCTCCGAGGAGGCAACAGGCGCTGAGTCCAGGAACAACGGGACTCTGAAACTTAACAAGGTGTGGCGGCTGCCAAGACGATCATATTCCCTGGCCAGCCTGGAACGAACAGCTCTAGGGACACGTCTGAGGGGCACCCTGCTGGGGCCCCCGAGGCCCACGCGCTCGTCAGAGCAAGCCTAGGCAAAGGGCCCCTCGGAGTCGGTCCAGCTTCTCTGAACACTATGCGGACATATAGGACGCCTCCCCATCTGCACAGGTGCTCCTGCAACTTGACAAGCTCGCCAAACCTAGCCTTAGCACTGTCGACCGACGGATTTCAGGCCGCTCCAAGCTTCGCGAATCGATCCGCGTGCTCATTGCCCTCTCTTTCAAAGCGGGCGGCCCGGCCTTCGACCAAATCATTGAAACTGGCGTGGCCCAAGGTCTTGCGCGCGATCAGACCACCCTCGAACACGTGCCAAACTCTCGACCACAGGTGTGCCCTAGGGCTGCCAAAGCTGACCGAAGGCCGACGGCCCCAGACACACCCTGGGGCCCCCTCGCAGTCAGCCCAGACCTGGAAGTCGCCCTCGGCGGGGCCAGCGGGCATAAACTAAGCGCAACCCTCGCCATCACGAGCCTGCTGCTTTGGCGCGCGGTCTACAGGGCAGCCCCGCGCAGCGGCAAGGGGCTCACCGACGGAGCCAACCATGCACAACGACCAACCCGCGCGGCGAAATCTGGCGGAGTTGGGGTCGAGGGCCAAACCATCACTGCATATGTAGCCACTCAGCTTGCCGCTCTGGGGAACGCTAAACCAATGAATGCGGCACTGGCTGGCTGTCGGCCCTCCAAGATCAGGGGGGGGGGGGGGGGGCAAACTTTTCTAGATCCTGTCACCAACCTCGTGCGTTCAGCGGTGCCTCGCGCGCCTGCCTGGGGAGATGATCAACGCTCGCGCCCGCCCGCGTCGAAAGCTGGGCATTCAGACCTCCCGTGGAACAATGCGCCTGGAGCTCCTTGACAGAGCTGGCAGACCTTCGAATCAGAAGTGCGGCGCTCACAAAGGCACGTTTGGGTCCAGGCCCCCAAGGCAGAAGCGCTGCGAACGCAAATCGGATGGTGCTGGTGCCAAACCTCAGTCGCGGCACCCCCCATCATGGCCCTGGCGCCCTCCCACCAGACGGGTCTGCACCACGCGTTGGTCAGGTTGAGGCGTTGCCTGGGGGCCTTCTGTGTCAGCCCTGATGCCTGCATCATCCACTGCATAATCACGCACGACCGTGGGCGCCATTGCCAAGAGGTCCACAATCTCGCCGTTAACCTTGCGGAAATGCCTAGCTGAACCGGGTGCACAGCCAATCTCAGCGAGGGTAAAAAAATAAAACGCGCGCAGGAGAGGTAGCAGAGGCCCATGGCGTCTCAGTTTTACTCATATCGTCGGCAGCCACTTGGATCACTGTTTGGTGCACAACGTTGCCGCGGTAGACAGTGCAGGGGCCCATCTTGCATCCAACGCCGTAGGACCTCAGACGGAAGGATGCCGACGCACCAGCCTTGCTCTGACGAGGGCTCCGACATGCAGCAACGCGCAGGGCATGCACCTGCTGCCGAGTAATCCAACCGCTGCAGTACCCCATAGGGCGCAGGCCTGATGCCCAGCCCTGCGCACCCCAGCAGCGCCGGCTCCAGCAAGCTTAAGTCTGGCAAGCTTACGAGCACGAAGTCCATCCTCCTCGAGCCTCTTGAGGGCCGCGGGGCTTGCAGCCCAGGGGCCTCGGCGCACCCATGCAGGGGAGCTGAAGGGCCCGCCCTGCCTTGGAGAGGCCCCCGGAGATCTCCCTGCACGAAGCGATGGGGTGAGTTCCCCCCCGTGCATTTTCAACTACAGCTCGTCGAACCCGTTCTTGAGTGCCCAACCTGCTGAGCCCAAATGATCCACGATCTAGTTGGCTGCGCCTGGCATCTGCAGGGACACGTCATGCACAGCGCTGCGAATGTGCAAAGAAGGAAACGCCGTGGCCAGCCCGCACAGCACTCTGTATAAGACTACCCTCGCGAAGCTCGCGGCCAGACTGCAGCCGGCGAGGATCGCGCCCGCGACTGCAAACATATCAGAACATGCCTCAGCAAAAAAGAATACTCGCGGCCCCGCGTACAAGCAGATGGCCGAGTAAGTAAGACCGAGGTGGAAGCCGCTCTTCTCGGCTACGGAATGTCTGGTGCCACGAGCTCGTAGAACTTCTCAAGATCTGCACAAAGCGTGGACAGCTCGAAACCTCCCAGTCGGGCGCGTTCGTCGAGCATCGCGCGCTGCCAGCCTGCTCAGCGCACTCCTTGTCTCTAGAACCCGCCCCCCAAAAAAATGAACGGCGCCCTATCTCCCAGGCGCGCGCCGCCCCCCGTCTCACCCTACCCCAGACGCGGAAGAGGGATAGGATAAGAGCAATTGGGCGCAGTCCAGCACCTTCTGGCTTACCCTGGAAGACCATCACCGCGGAGCATTTCAGGGCCAACTTGCCGGGGCCCCTCTCCCAAGTCATCCCGACATCGATGAGGCGGTCGATACACGCCCCGGGCAGACATAACCATGAACGCGGGCTCCAGCAATCCACCCCGAGGCCGCTTGCGCGCTTGAGTCCCCCCCAGCCCATTTGACCGTTTGAGGAGAAGGTCTCGGGAGACCAAACGAGGCCCGTGCCATGGCCACCTGGGCCCCAGCGAGGCCCGAACGGCGGCGCAACCAGCATTTGCCTCACCCGTCGAGCAGCGCCTCGACAGCAGAACCGCCCCCGGAGCTCCCGGCCCTCCTTGGCCAGCGGCCCCGCGGCGACATTCTTGCCCTTGGAGAAGGCGCGGGCAGCCTGTCCCCCTTTGCGGTCGCCACCTTAGCCCCCCCCCCCCCCCCCACCTAGACCAGCAGGCGCGCGGGACCTTGACAGCAAGATGCCGTGGGCGGAGCGAGCGGCGGGGAAAAAGTAACCGATCTCATAACCGTCGGCGGCAACAATGGCCTCGATCATGTCAGCGATCCAGGGGGCAATCACCAGAAACTGAAGCTGCAGCAGAGACCCGTCTAGCCGAAGCAATCCTCCTCGAACTCCAATCCAAAGAGGTGAGTCAGCGCCACAATCAGTGCAAAGGCACGCCTTGCTCGGCAGAGCCGCGAGGGAGCGCGAGGAACGCAGTTGCGGAAAACAAATAGTGAACCACTTCAACCTCAAAACTGCCCCCACCGACAAAATACGTCTGCTAACCCATCAGATCCCCCAATAAACCTATCACGGCCTTCCCCATATAGGTCGCAAGCCCTGCAAAGCTAGAGCTCCGCGTGAATCACCCATTGGCCCCAAGACCCCCCGAAGTCTAACTCGCCGATCTCGCCTGCGCCCCGGGGCCACATGTCTTCGGGCGCTCTAAGGCATCCAACGGGCACCTCGGCAGGGAACCTCTTCCAAGTACATCTCAAGTGGATAGGGGTGGACAACGAGACCCCCTTCAACCAGAGCCCCGCTGGAGAGCGAGGCGAAATCGGCGCATCGATCAGCGCGCGGTTCTTGTCAACGCAAGACGACGCACCCTGCGCAAGGATGGGGGGAAACGGAAAACTGATCCGGATGAGCACGCGGCTTGGTCAGTTGCTACCACGGCGGCTCCAACGCGGGAGCACCAGTCCCTGAGTTCGTTGCAATTCGGGCCCAAGTCGGCATCGCATCCAATATCCAATGAGGCAGTCAGGCTTTCCAAGTATCGGTCCAACGAGGCCACCGTGCCAACATTAGCCCCCGTGACCCCAATGCTGCGGCGGAAATAGATCGAAGCCCCTGGGAACTACAGCTTGAACATGACGTGCCAAGACTCTCCCAGAGGCCTCAGGTAGCTTGCTGATCCTGCGTTTGGCTCGCGAGCTGGTCGATGCGTCGGAGACCCATTGCCAGGGCGCCTGCAGAGCTGGCCAGCGCGCGGCCCCCAGTCTGAACAGCTGGGCAGAAGTCAGCTGAAATGCCCCGACATGCTTGGCAATGATGTCAGGGTCCACAACACTGGTCTCTGGTCTAGCAAAGAACTGGGGCCCCGGCCCATCAAGGCCTTCATCCATTCTCCAGTCCAGGACGGTCTCACAGAAACTCCAACAGTTGGCGCATCCAGAAAAGAATTTCCATGACGCAGCGGAATCCCTGTTGGTCCTGGAACATGCTCTAGGCGCAGCCGGCGGCGCTGCCCCAGGAACAAAGGCAAACACAGACACTGGAGCTGACGGGGCCGCTCACCTGCACTCGGGCTTCGATGCATCCACAGGCCGACGTGCTCCGCCATGCGGGGCGCTACAAGGCCCCCCCCGCGATTCCCGCCAGCGGGGAACTTCCCGCGGATTCAAGGGCCCAAGCGCGCCCAGGTCTCGCGGGCGCCGCTGCCACTGCGGGGCCCCCACTATCTCAGGAGCCAAAAGTGCGGCCTCTGCCGTCAAGGGAGCCCCAGTCCGCCTGGTAGCCGAACTTCTCGAACTGGAGGTACCATCGAGACTTGTGCGCATATGCTAGGGGCTGCACCTGACGTCCAGGAACAGCGGCTCAGGACGTGGCACAGGTATCGGAAATCCAACATCAGGCCATTCACAATCGACAACCTTGTCCGTCATGACCTCACAGCCAACCTTCAGGCCTCGCCGCGCGCCCGCATCAGAGGTCGAAGCTGGCCTGCCCCCCGCGCTGGACACAGCGGGCGCCCTTGCCGTCGTCGAGGCCGGCAACTGCTCTGGGACGGGGGGGGGACTTTGCAAGAATGAATCTTGCCCCCCCTCCCTCAGCGGACGCTGGACTGGCCGCGCAACCCCGAGCGGGGGCCACTCGACAGGGCCCAGCACGCTGCCGCTGCCAGTCGCGCCGCCTTCTCCGGCGCCGCCTGCCAGCAGCCGCCGCGGCGCCGCGCCCGCGCCGCCCACCTGGTCCACCACCATGGAGCGGTCGCGCGGTTACCCCTGGCTCGGGGGCGGGGCTGACGGGCGCCCCCAGAGCTGCCCCCCGCCCCGCCCAAGCCAACGCGCCGCCCCTCCAGTCTTCTGCGGCCCCGCCCACGCTGCACCCCCACCTGCAGCGGCACGCCCCCCCGCGCCGAGCGCCGACGGCGGCGCGACGGCCCGCTGCGAAGCCGACGGCAGCCCGAGGGCCCGGGGCGCCCGGAGGGCCCACGGGCACCACAGATGACTCTCGGGCAGGCACTGCAGCAGCGGCCGCATCCGCCTCTGCGGTCCGCGACGAGGCGGGCCCGCCCCTCTCGCCGTTCACCTCGCGTGTGCACCTGGGGGGCAGGCCCCAGCAAACCACTTGGCGACTGAGCCCAGCCCCTCTCGCTGTTTACCACGTAGGTGCACCTGGGGGCTGGGGCTTGTGTTCTCATGTTATCGAGGCTACCCCCGCTTCTGACGCTTGTCAGCTGCCGCCTGGATCTGAGACTGCAGCTTCTTCCTGGCTTCTTGAAGAGTTGCTCTTGCTGCCTCGACTGCCTCGCCTTCGGCTTGAGCTGCTCTCTCTCTCTCTCTCTCTCTCTCTCTCTCTCTCTCTCTCTCTCTCTCTCTCTCTCTATATATATATATATACATATGTTTCTCTCTCTCTCTCTCTTTCTCGCTCTCTCCCTCTGTTGCTGCACGAACCCGCTCGGCGGCGTCCGCAGCCAACTGTTCGTCTGATTCGTCGAATTCCACGCCCACGTCATCTGACGGCGCAGCGGGAGGGGGGAAACACTATTGCGGGCAGCCACCGCTTGGGCCCCCAACATGCTGAAGAGCGCCTGCAGGTGATTGCTTGCCTGCTCGTCGCCCCTCTGAGAGCGAAACCATGCCCTGAACTCCTCGGATGTCGCACCCATCTACTGCTCTTCCATCCTGAGAACAGGTCCATCGGCGTAGGCCACCGACGTGGCGAAGCTCACCTTGGCTTCCCGCTCGAGGACTGCAACTTGGCGCCTCGCCTCCTCCACAGCCTGCTGAGCGTTGACGAGCCGCGTCTCGAGAAGATTGTGCAGCTCCTCGACTTCCTGCTTGACTGCCTCGAACTTGGTCTCCAACGTAGTAGCGCACTCACGCGCCCGCTCCAGCCTGGGTGCAATGCTGTGCTGCTGGATGTGGAAGGGTTTGGCATCGCTGCTCATCTTCTGGGGCTTGGCCACCTGCTCCTCCGCCAACGACGCGTCCTCCTGGTGAGTGAACACCCTCGCGGCCTTCTGCCAGTAGACCAAGCGTTCCTTGGAGTCCTTTTGCTCGTTGCTGGTCGCGGTTGCGGGCTCAGCCTCCATCCTCCATGGCGGCGGGGAAGATGGGGCGGAAGCGGGCTCCTCGAGCCCATCGAAGCGACTGATAATCTTCTTGAGCGTGGAGTCCAGATGCAGGCGGCGCGCCCGCACTCCACTTCCCCCTAGGCGTTTTGCCTCCGCTAGCACCTAACGAAGTGACCTTGTCATGAGCTGTGTTGGTCACCTTCTGTATTGACCGAGGGGCCGCCGATCCGCACGCACATTCGACACGCGACGCCCAGTTACCTGAGCGGTGGCACGTAGTGCATGCTCACAGCGGCTTCTTTGGGCCCAAAAGAACCCCTTCGAACCCATGGGCGGATAGAATGAAACGGAATTGCTCCCACGGGAGCTCACATAAACGCACAGTGGGCGAGGCAGTGGTGCCTACCTACCCACAAAGCAAAGGCTGCCCTGGCCAGCTGTCTTGACGAGATGGCAATTTGAGCCAAAATGGCTGGAGCCAAAATGGCTACGGTCCTCCTCCTCCTCCTCCTCGTCCTCGTCCTCGTCACCGTCCTGCGCCTCCTCCTCCTCCTCCTCCTCCTCCTCCTCCTCCTCCTCATCCTCCTCCTACTCCTCCTACTCCTCCTACTCCTCCTCCTCCAATCCGATCCCCTCAAACCCACTTCACTCCACCCGCCTGCCATTCCCTCGCCTCCGCTCCTCCACTCCAATCCTGACGTTCCCATGCCCGCCTTCACCCGAAGCTCGTCAGTGGCCGCACCAATCAGCTGCGCCGTGAATATCTCCCTGCAGTGATCCAGGGCCTCCCGTCGGAGACGAATCACCCGCCGGTTCTTCGTCATCATCATCATCATCATCATCATCATCATCATCATCATCATCATCATCATCAGCAGCAGCAGCAGCAGCAGCATCATCATCATCATCATCATCATCATCATCATCATCATCATCATCATCATCATCATCATCATCATCATCATCATCATCATCATCATCATCATCATCAGCATCATCATCATCATCATCATCATCATCATCATCATCATCATCATCGCCATCCTCATCCTCATCCTCATCCTCATCCTCATCCTCATCGTCATCATCATCAGCAGCAGCAGCATTTTCATCATCATCATCATCATCATTATCATCAGCATCCTCATCATCATCCTCATCATCATCCTCATCACCATCAGCATCATCATCGTCATCATCAACATCAGCATCAGCATCAGCATCAGCATCAGGATTAGTATCAGCATTAGCATCATCAGCATCATAATCAGCCTCATATTTATCATCATCGACATCATCATCAGCAGCAGCATCATCGTCATCAGCATCATCATCATCGTCATCCGCATCAGCATCAGCATCAGCATCATCGCCATCAGCAGCAGCATCATCGTCAGCATTACCATCACCAACAGCAGCATCATCATCAGCAGCAGCATCATCATCACCACCACCACTCATCACCAGCATCATCACCAGCAGCATCAGCAGCATCATCAGCATCAGCATCATCATCATCAGCAGCATCATCAGCAGCATCATCAGCAGCATCATCATCAGCATCAGCATCAGCCTCATCATCAGCAACAGCATCAGCATCAGCATCAGCATCAGCATCAGCATCAGCAGCCATCATCACCAACTTCACATACATCATCCGTATCACCATCAGCATCACCACCACCACCACCAGCATCCTCGTCAGCATCACCACCACCACCACCACCATCATCATCATCATCATCAGCAGCAGCAGCATCAGCATCACCCTCCTCCTCTTCCTTCTCCTCTCTGCTGCTTTTCTCCGCAGTTCAAGAAACACACGTTGCAGCTGTGAGTGCAATTGCAAGGACTTCCCGCGAAGCCTCGTCTACGGCAATGACTCCGCTCCGAAAACTGAGCACGGCGTGTCTATGAACGTGCCTGCTGCCACGAGTGGCTCATACGTCCATGTTCCTGCGTGAGTGCTCCACGCGGATGCTGCGCAGCACTCGTCTCGGAGCCCGCCGTCGGTCGTCATCGTGATTGTCATCGTCATTGTCATCGTCATTATCAACATCGTCGTTTCCTTCCCTCCTCGCCATCATCGCATGCCCTTTCACGTTCGTCATCCTCGTCGTCCTGCCCATCCTCGTTGTCACTAGTTTCCTGCACATCATCGTCCTTCTCTCCAGGCTTCCACCCCGCTACAGGAAGCTGATCATAAAGGAAAGTCTACTGGATGATTCGCCGATGTCTCGCCGCTGAAACGACCGTCTGCCCGACCCTGCGATGCGACACATCAGCGTCGAACGGAAAGGGAGGAGCAGGGGAAGCAGCAGGGGGGGTGGAACAGGGGAAGCTGGAGGTGGAGGGACGAGGAAGGGGGAGCTGGAATGACGCGCTTCCGTCCGAAGGCGCCGCAGCCGCAGCTACGGCCAGCACGTCTGGTCTGGAGGGCATACACCGAAGGATGAGGGCGGAGAGGCAGAAGAAGGAGATAGATGGGAAGCCGTTTGCTCCCTCTCCTCCGCTCGCTCCCGCGGTTCAGCGGGGGGGGGAGGGGCAGGCAACACTTCGGACACCAGGTCTGTCCAGGCCCCGAGGCCACAAGCACTCCCCCAGGCCTTCCTCGCAAATCGGGAGGCGCCGCTTACGAGACAGGGGTGGTGGGATGACCTACGCCTTGGCGCGGCCCATGGGGACCGCGAGTGGTAAGCCGATCGGGTACGTGTGCGGTGGCCAGGCCGCTCCAGGGCCCGCCTGCGCACCCGTGGCAGCAGCGCCGCCTGTACACGCGCGCAGGGATGCGCGATGCGGGGCATAGGGGAAGCGAGCGGTACCACCCGTGGGCATCCACGGCGGCGGCCCAGTAAGAACAGGCGACGGGACAGGTGCCAATGGTTCACGCAACCTTTTGGCGGAGAGGGGTGCCAGCACCGGTGTATTGAGCGTCGATAAGAGGCGCGGAGGTTGCCACGGGGGGGCGCCCCAAGGGCCGCTGCTGGCTGAATGGCCTGTTGCAGGCCGTCCGAGGCCTTGCGATCGCTGGAACCTGTCAAGCAGCGGGGCTAACTGTTCCTGAATCTGGAGAAGGGAAAAGCGCCAGCTGGTTCGCTGCTGGCGTGCACGAGCACTGGCGATGGGAATGGTTTCGCGGTCACCTTGGTGCTAGCTATTTGCCGCAGTGAGGCTGTTGCGTGAAGGTATGCCTACGGCCCGCGCATTGGGCGGCACCGCTGGCGCTGTGACCGTGGCCCCTGGCCTCACGGCCACCCCTGCCAGAACCCTGGCCGGCCGAAGTGGGGGGCCAGTTGAAGCGTGGGCTCGGGGTAACTCGCGGGTTCTTGTGGCAGCAGCAAGCGCAGTAAATGTTTTTCCCTTGAGCCAACAAGAGTACGCGTGAGATCATGACACGCACACTATATGCAAAACCTGAGACACAAATTATGCTCACCTGTTTCACAGGTAAGACTTTCTCCCAGGTTCTGCAGCCCCGAAGCGCTAGGCCCCTGTGGCTTGCGCCTTTCGCAGTACGTCTCCTGAGACGACTGCGCAACCCTCTTAAAAGAAAAGGAAAGCAGGAAAAGCATCCTGACACTTCAGCAACAGACTTACTGAAACATGGCATTGGAGGACAAAGCAGAGGTGGAGAGAGAGAAGGAGGAGGGGGAGGGACCACCACCACCACCAACCTCCTGGACCAGGTCTTGGAACTCCTGCCACGTCACCAGCTGCTGGCCCTCTAGAGTCTTCCTGGAGGCGGCCTGGGTCCGGCTCTTGAGTCCTGGCGTCGTGCGTCGTCGCTCTACCTCCTCGGATTCGTCGACGAGGATCAGCTTCCCGCTGATCATGAGGTCGAACAGTGCTGCGTTGCTCTTGGTGATGTCGTCCTTCGTCAGGGCGTCGACTGGCATTCGGCCATGGGGAATCCAGCGGATTTTCCCCTTCGCCTCCTCCAGGGCAGCGCATATGATGGCCATGTCGATGGCCGTCCTCCTGTCCCGGGCGCTGGCGTTGCCTTCCTTCATCATGATGTCGTAGATGCTCTTGGCGTCTACCACGTGGACCTGACGCTCACGAGAGCCTAGACGACAGTCGCTCCGGAGCATGGTCGTGAAGGGCCCGGAGCCACGACGGTGGTCCTGCACGTTGACATCCTGGAAGACCACGTCCCGGTACAGGATCTGCAGGAACTCGACTTCAGCGACAGCAGCACTGAGAGCCTGAGTCTCGCCAGCGAGAGTCGACGGCACCTTCCGGCGAAGCTTAGAGCTTCTCCAGGACAGCATCGAAGCCTTGACGGCTTGATTGCTGAGGACGTCGGCGTCGGCAACAAGCACCATCCAGGCCCCCTGCGTCGGGTCGTCGGGTAGGCCCTTGTCGTCCAGCATGTCTTCTTTGGCGCCCACGCCGCCGGCGTCCGAGAAGGAGACAAAGGCCATCCTCTCCGGATCCAGTCTCCACACCGTCAGTCCTCGAGAGGCGGTGGATCGGAGGTGTCGGACGAGACGGTTGGCCAACGACACGTCTCCGGTAGTCGGTGCCTTTAGCCTGCTGGCGAGGATCGAGGCCACTCCTGCTGCCTCGGGTCTGGTCTCTCGTCCTACCCAGTTGAATTTGTATACCAGTGATCGGAGGGCCTTGAACTCGGAGTGTTCGAGAGGGGAGTCTTTGCGGGCCAGGCGGCCTCGGGCCACAGATATGGGCTTGACTTCTTCTAGAATGTACTTCTCTTGGTCCAGCACAGCACGGCTAGGACCAATCGTCACCCTCCGGCCGGCAAAGTCGACCGGGCCCTCGTGGCAGTTCCTGTACTTGCCGAACTTGAATCGGGATTCCAGCGTCTGTCGTAGCCAGCTCCTGGTCGTAGAGTCAGCGCTGGCGATGAAGAAATCATCGACCTCAAGAAGAACCATGTTCAGGATCTGGCCCCGGGAACCGTACCGCACCCACCAGCAGGGTTCGAGGAGGCTCTTGATGAACCCGTGCTGCTGGAGGAACTTGATCACCGTGCGTCTCCAGGCGACTGGGGCGTCGTCCAGGCCGTAGACGTTGACCCGCAGTAGAATCAGTGATCCCTTTGCCAGCTCTATGCCCTCGCACGGTTCGACGTAGATGTCCCCCTGCGACCGTGTCATGGGGTCGGACTGGCAGAAGGCGTTTTTGACGTCAGCGATGTCCGCCAGCATGCCCGAATTCATGAGCACCTGGACGAACAACATGATGCTGGTCGTCTGGGGAGTCGGGGCATAGACCTGGAGAGATCCTGAGTCTGGGTCACGGTGTCCGTGAACGCACCAGCGGGATTTGGCCAAGGGCTCCGATCCGGTGCCCTCCACGGGCTTCCAGCGCCGGACCATCCGACTCGAGATAATCCGCTCCGGTTGGGCCTTCCGCACGGCTTCCGCCTTGGAGGGAGGTATGACCTCCACCGCTCCGGTGGCCATCATCGCCTCCCATTCTTTCTGGTCGGCAGCTCGAAACTTCTGTCGTTCATCGGGCGTAAGCTGCTTGAGGCTGACCTCGCCTCCACGGCTGGCAGCGAAAGAGCCGCTCCCCGGGGCAATCAGTCCAGTCCAGTCGTCGCTGTGACCATCCAAGACCTGGCTGGCCAGGACCGCCTGGACCCCCTGGGTACCACCACCACCACCACCGGGGAGGAGGAGGAACTCTTCCCTTTCCTGCTCCACTCCTGCCAGTCCCTCCTGCCAGTCGTGAGGCGACCGGCTCCGGCCTCGGACGCGGCCCGTCTCGAAGTCCTGGATGATGTCCGAAACTGGCCTCCTACCCTCGGCCCGAGAGA